AGCCGATCCCTGGGAGAAAGGTGAGGCTTTCTACTCATAAAGCGTTACAGCCTCAGCTGCATCAGTGAGATCTGATGCAGACACTTCATTGGGTGAACTGGCCTCTACCTCAGACACACTTGTAACCTGAGGACTTAAGACTGAAAGTCCATGGTGGCCGAGGAAGCAGAAGGCAGCTATGCAAGATTGTGGAACCGTGGATAGGCTATATCAATGCCCTGTATGTGGTATTAAGATATATATTATTCCGGCAAACCTGTGATGGACATTCTCAGCGAATACTATTGTAACATTTCCCTGACGACTGACTCCCATTGCTTGCGTAAATAGTGTCCAGCCAGGAAAGGATTGATTCTGTACAAGTGAATAATTCAGGTACTGTGATATGGAGTTAGCCTACACTGGCTCAATAGCCCTCTCTCAACAGGGCTTTAAAAAATTAGTACCAGGGACTAATCAAAGGTGGTAAATATTAACAGAAGATCTTTCTGTCCCAAGGAGATGATCAATAAGACTCAGTACCCTAAATTAACAAGGAGGTTTGTAAAGGGAGCCACAGGCAGATTAAAAACATAGATCAGGGAATGGGTTTGGGGCTCCCACTAATTCCTAGCTCCAACTTAAGAACAATTAGTTCTTACCTCATGGCCTTGCTGGCTACTTGCTCCCAGGAAGGGAACATAGGCGATATGGGTGCTACAGCAAAGTGTGGTGAAGAAATTAGACGGTGCCCGGCTATCAGATAAAATAACACCTGGGGTCTTAAAGGATTGTCTCCGAACAAGCAGTCATCTAAGTGAGATGCCAACCAAATCCACATGGAAGAAACACACCAACACCAGTGACCAAGGAGGGAATGGTATCAGAGTCTAAATGGTGAGAATCTGGTTTGCAGAAGGCTATGGATGACAGTGGGAGCCCAACATACATGTGTGGGAACTACATAGGAAATGAGCCTCTAGTGGTCTCCCTCTATCCATAATAGAGGGGTGAGAAGAAGCTGGTTACCGGCGTGCCTGGGAGAGATGACTACGGAAGATCAAACTGATAAGCCTGACTCGAACTGTTTGAGCCTTGACAGTTGATCCCCACTCTGCTGTACATTGAGCCTGATGGGGTTTTCACCATTTTCTGTATTTTGTTGTTCTTCATATTGGGGTTTATCTCAGATGTTTTTGGTCTTTGGGGGTGACCCTCTTGAATTTTTGTTCTTCTGTTTTTCAGTATATGAAACCCAGGACTGATGAAACTATAGGGACAGCATATAGAATTAGGGTTTCTGGAGAGCCGAGGGGTACAGTGGTGGTAGGAGGTAAAAGGGAGCTGACGTCAAGGAGTTCAAGAAGGAAAAGAATGTTCTGAAACTGATTGTGGGAGCAGTTGTACAAAACCGCTCGATGCAATTGAACTATGGAACGATATGATGTCTCTATTAGCTCCCAATAAAATGGTTTTGGGAGACAAACAGTTACAGCCTTGGAAACCCACAGGGGTCATTCTACACTGTCCTACAGGTCGCTATGAGTCGGCGTGATAGCAGTGAGCTTGGTTTTGTACCAGTTCAAGGTATCCAAGGTGGTGTATGAGGAATGAGTTAGTCTAACCTTGTCATTTAACAGGTGGGGAGGCTGAGGTCCGGAGAGGGGAAGGACTTGCTGGTGGTATGCAAAGCAGGGGTTGTAATCTGTTGTTCTTCTTACTGCCCCACACTCCCTTTGCCCTACAAGGGCTACATTCACCCCCTGCTTGTCCTAGAGCGGAGGGATGCGCCTCATGAGAGCAGTACAGCTCCTAGCAGCTTCAGCATTTCATTTCTGCGCGATTTGTTCTCAAACTCTGGAACCACCTTTTACTGATAAAATAAGCACCCAAAATTCAAGCCCACCTACCGTGAGTTGATTTCAATCGTAGCAACCCTATATGGCGTCTCCAAGACTGTACGGCTTTATGGGAGTAGACAAGCTGGTCTTTTCCTGACAGAATGTCATGACCTTGAACCATCGACCTTGAAGTCAGCCCAACCTATGGCGCCCCCAGGGCTCCTTGCTTTCCCTTAATCTCGCTGCCATTGAGTTGATTCCAATTCACAGCAGCCCTACAGGACAGAGTAGAACTGCCCCACATAGGTTTCTAAGACTGTGACTCTTGATGGGGCGGCTGGTGGTTTCAAACTGCCGACCTTGTGGTTAGCAGGACAACCCACTATGCCATCAGGGCTGGGACTAATGAAGATGGTAAAGGAATTGTGCATTAATGTGTGCTGAATTGGCTCACATGGGCAGAATATTCCAGGATTATTTGGATACTTGACGTGTAAGTGTTCTGTCCCAGTCTGTCTGGACATAAGACAAATGGTCATGTCCCCCAGGAAACATCTGCATGGGCACCTAGGCACTGGGGTACTGGAGAGCTCCGGTAGACAGTGAGGCCCATAGAACTCAGTCTGGTGGGAGAAAGTGGCCAAGACAGCCGAGGACAATGGGTGGCAACTACCAAGGGGAAGTCATGGGGTCTGCAGAGTGAAGGACAGGGCTTTTCCCTCGTGCCTGCAGTCAGGACAGTCCGCTTCCGCCGAGACCGAGGACAGAGTAGAATTTGCCAGGAGAAGAATGAGGACAAGCTGTTCCAAGCTGAGGGCATAGCCAGGCTAGATTTGTGAGGTGGTATTGAGCAAGGTGCACGAGGAAGACCCAGGAAGGCTTGTCTGGGAGGCCCAGAGGGGAGAAGGTCCTGGGGGTGCCCACTGCTGAGTCAGGGCACAATCACTCCACCTCTGCCTCTCCAGGTGCCTCCCACCAACACCCTTCTGGCATCCTTCCTGCCTCTGCTCATGGGGACCCAAGCAGATGGCAGCCAGGGCAGGGTTCTACGTTGAAGGTGTGTGTGGTGGTGTAATGAGATTCCTCGAGAGAAAAATGAAGCTTTGTACTTCCATAAAGAGTTACAGACTTGGAAACCCACGGGGCAGTTCTATCCTGTCCTGTAGAGTCTCTGTGAATCGGAAATTGACCCGAGAGGGCAGTGAGCTGCTTGTTTTGTTTTGACTGTTAGATGAGAATCCCTGGTGGTGTATCTTTACTCATTGGGCTGCTAAGCACAAAGCCAGCAGTTTGAAACGACCATCCATTCCATCTCCAAAGGGGAAAGCCACAGGTCCAGTGTGCCCTGTCCGACAGGCTTGCTGTGAGCCAGAATCAACTTCATGCCATGAGCTTGGTTTTTGTTTTAGAGGAGGTGAGGCCTCATCAGTGGTGTCCGTGGCAGGCCACAAGGTCCTGGGTGTCCACATGGAGCGTTAACCAGCGGCGTGTCTGCCCTGTGTCTGCAGGCTATCCTGGAGCAGCTTCTCATCTACAAGCCCAGCGACACCATCGCCTTCATCATCGACCACCTGCATCGTGACAACGACAACGGTATGTACATGGTGGGCCCCTTCCTGCAACTCCAGGACCCGCTTCATTCTGGGGACGCCTGGGAACGCACCAGCCACCGGGAGGGCACGGCAGTGTGGGGGCAGCTCTGACAACCTGGATAGGTCCGAATCTTGTGGTGCACCCAAATGAAACCGAACTTCCTGCCTGGCATCGATTCTGACTGACAGTGACCCTACAGGACAGGGTCCCGTAAAACTGCCCCTGTGAGTTTCCATGGTTGGAACTCTCTACAGGAGGAGGAGATCCTTCGGGCATGCCATTCACATTCAAACCTCAGGGTGACTCATGGACTCAGGTCGTATTTGTTCCAATCCCAGCCCGTGTCCCCTCAAGCTCTCTCTGGCATGCGGTCATTAGTTCCCAAGTTGCCCAAACTTCAGCCTGAGGGCAGGTGGGCTAGCCCCACAGCTAGAGCAGGGAAGCTGGCGTCTCACTCTCCCCTCCCCAGTTGGTTTGCCACATGCTACATGGCTCCCATCCTGGGTGAGCTGCCAGGGAGACCCAGTGTCTGGAAGCGCCACTTGGAAGCCCAAAGGGCACATCCCATCCCCTCATGCAGCTGCCCCAGGTGGACCTGGGTAGACCAGGAGAATCCCTCTCCAACATACCTTTTCCTCAGCCCTCCTTCCCAGGGTGATCTACTTGGCTCTGTAGAAAGTGTCTGCTTCCTGGGGAAGTGTCTCTTCCATCCCCCTGTTCTGCCCACCCTCCCCGTGTGGGTGGGCCTTTCTGCGGCAGCCACACCTCACGCCCTGGAGCCCGCCCACTCAGACTGCATTTGCTCAAACAGAAGCTGTGTCTTTGCCCTCCCCATCCGAACCCCGGGCTCTCGTCTGAGCATTCTGAGTCCGGTCAGCACCCTTTTACCGCTTCCGTGACCACATACACACACGTGGCCGAGGCCAGCGTAAGTCCGGTGGGCATTTGTGCAGAGAGATAGGGAAGTGGAAGCCTAAGAACAAGGAAGGAGAGTGGAGAGTGGATGAAAGGGTTCACTTAAGGTAAAAGAGCAAAGCAAAGGACAGTGACATCAAACCCAAAGCCAACGAGCCAAGTCACAGCCAGAGCCAAGTGCAGCGCAGGGAAGTACAAGGAGAGCTAACCGCAGGGAAAGGGAAGTTGAGAATGAGAGTAAAGTGAGGGCAAAGTCAAGCCAAATAAAGGTTAAAGTGCAAGAAAGAAAAGTAAAATGAACCCAATTCGCAGAAATTCCTTCTTCTGTTCATTGCTCCTCAAAATTCCCCCGTGCAGAAAGCAGTAAGCAATCCCTCAGTCCCCCCGGGCCTCCTGTACCCCTGTGTCTGGTTCCGCAAGGAAGGAGGTGGGCTGCAGGAAGGACGCTGCCACGTCCTGGCTGGGCCCAGGGCATTGCATGTCGAGATTCCGTCCATGCGGAGCTCAGTGAGACTTTTCTGCGTTCAGAACTGCACTGGACAATAAGGCCGCTTTGTGAACTGTCAGAAACTAGGTCGCCCCAGGACCTCACCCGTTCATGGGACTGGTCTGACCGAGGGGCGTTAGGTCCACTTTTTCTTAGTTTGAGCTTGCTCCTCTGTTTTTTGTTTTTTTCAGTGCCTAACTGTCTACACTAGGAGGTGTTTAGAAATTCAGATGTTCTCTTTCTATTGGGGTTGGAATGTGGCCAGTGTTGGCTGGACAGCTGTCCTGGGCGGCTAGGTTTACAGCCCCCTCCATCACCCGCCTCCTGACCTTCACCACCGCCCAGTGCCCTCTTTGCCAGGCCTTCCCCTTCATTCCCGGGCCTCCTGCTTTTCCCAAAGCAGCTCCCCGCCTCTCTCTCTTCTCCACACCGCACCTGTTCAGTGGGTCTCCAGCAGGGGCCAAGAAACCAGCCCAGCCCGGTTTTAGCGTCTGACTGAGCAGGCCTCTCATCTGTCCACCTGAATAGCTGTAGTGTGGTCCTTGGGCCTGGAGGCTGGTCCAGGGAATAATGATCAGATCTCAATAACCACCAGTTTGAGGTGTTATTTGTTTACCACCTTCCTTTATGTCTGTCCGTTGGCGCAAGTTCCAACTGCTTGAATAAACATAAGAAACATTTCTTTCTGCTTGCCCCGGCCTCGCCCGACAGCTCCAGCAGAGCCTGGGGAATGGGGGGCAGGCAGGGGTGGGGACCTTGCTTCGGACGAGGAAGTCTGGGAAGAGTTTGGTCTTCTTAGGTTGTAACAGAGAATCCAGGTGCTCGGAGAGCATCCTAAGGCAGACAGTGACTGAGCTGACGACCTTTGACATCCTCCGTATAGTTCCCTTCCCCTGGGCTGCTGCTTCCAACTCCAGTGCCTCCTTCGAAGCCGACAGATGGCCTGTGCTCACTGGGAGCCATCGGCTCTTCCAGGCACCGGGTGTGGGCATTGAGCTGACCCCCACCCCCACTGCTGCCCCAGCGATGGACGTGGCCAGTGATCAGCACAGGGGAGAGAACACGTACCAGGGAGCAAGGGGCGGGGTGGGTGAGTGGGGGCACAGACACACGAGCTGGCAGCCCCGTCGCCATGAGAAAAGCAGATTTGGTACAAAGTGGGTATTTATAGTAGCCCTGGGCAATATTAAAGCAGATGATGGTGTGGATAATGGTATGTTTCGTTTTTTTATCAAACGTTTGTCCAAGAAAGCTGTGTATTAGAGCTCCAATACCTAAGGGTTTTCTTGTGAATTTTAAATCACGCTCCTCGTTAAACCTCAAAAGGATCTGTGGATGGAAAGGTTTTTTGATTTCCTTTGAAGTGGTGGGAAGAAGTTGATCACTCCTGGCAGTTGAGCAGCCTTTTATGGCACTGTTTATAAATAATTACTCATGAGCAGGGCTGGCGTTTCAAGGTGTTAGGTTTTTAAGAAGCCGAAATTAATCACATAAATGAGTGTTCACACACACACATACAATGAGGTGGTGGGCGACAGGTTGTGGCTGTTCCCCTTTTAAAGGATTTTCATAGGTGTGCACGATTTGGGTGCTACTTACAGGAACTTGGAAAGGGAGGGTTTTCCTGCCAGCCTTCAAACCCGGTAACTTTGTCGAGATGAATGTATGATTTGGGAGTCAGACTCACCCCCCAAATAGCCCATGTTCAGCTGATGCCTCTCGCATCTCATCAGGTTCCACAGGCTCTGGCCTCTGGGATAGGCCTAGCATTCAGAAGGAGTTCTGCAGAGCTGGGAGAAGCCTCCGGGCATTGAGCACATGAGCCAGGCCCCAGGGCCCTCCACCCTGTCCCTTGTCCAAGCAGGTGTCCTTCCAGCGAGCGGTCCCAGCGAGTCCTTTGTTCATTGCATGAGGACTTTCCACCCTTGGCCTGCTGCTCTTACACTGCTCACCACCCCCCTCAACCTTTCAGGCCACCCCAGGTCCAATCTCACTTGTTCACTTAGGCCCGATCAAACCCAACCCAAGCCCACTGCCATTACATCCGCGCTGACTCATAGCGACCCTCCCTAAGCTTTCTGAGACTGAACATCTTTATGGGAGCACACAGC